TTTTACTTTAAAAAGTGACAATACAGAAAAATATTGATCTGAACTTCAAAAAGAACATAAATGTATTTTTCAAATAAGTGTAAAATGTTAAAGTGAAGAAACTGTATCTTATGAAAATTCATGAGTACTTTTTTCTGCATGCATTAGTTTTCATTATAAAATAAAGTATAAGGAAAAAAATGAATCAATTAATGAAAAAATTTTTCTATTTTCTTGTTTAATACTTTCCGAGGAAGGAAACTAATTTCTAAATTGACTCTTAAAGAAATAATCGACTAAAATGTGTAGTTTATTTCTGGAAATATTTCTTTATTCACTGAGTTCATCTACCATTACATTGTTGATTTCAAGGGTTTATTTAAAGACTGGTGTAAATATAATTAATTGAATCTACCAATTGTGATATAGGTGTTGGTTTCTATTTTACTTGATCAAAGTGTAGAATTATTAGTTTGTACTGTGTCCTTTTTATAGATTTTTTCATGATCGCAGATAATCATTTTCTGTACATATTTATTTTTTTATAAATATGATCTATTAGAAAGAGAAATTTTTAAGAGAGAATGTATGTTTATTTCTTATGAAAGCATAATATTTTCTTTTCGAACGAATAGATTCGTCTTTAGTTTTTAAATATAATAAATTTGTTCATGATTTATTTCAGTATATATTTTTCGATAAAGGAAAAACAAGTCAGTATTCTTTAATTTAAAGAAATAAAATTGATGTTTCATTAAAATACATGTCATTTTTAACTCAATATTGACTATAGATGAGAAATATCATTATTTTTATACTTGCAACATACACATACAATTCTTCTACGAGTTATTTAATGTTTATCTTTGATGCTGTGTTTTGGTTTCTGTAATTAATGCAGAGTTGAAAAAAAACAAAAAAATAATATTCTTTTTCGTTATGTTTGTCTTTTGTACTTCAAGAATGAAACGCTGACGCAAACTTATACATAGTTGTTGCATTGTTTCGCTTTTTACTGTTAAAATTTTTTTCTTTTTACAATATGAAAGAAAAGGACGACTTTGCTCTTTGTCTTTCTTTCTTTCTTTCTTGTGAACACTTAAAAATGACAGAGTAGGTGGAAAGCATAAAAAAAAAAAGGGAAAGAAAGAAAAAAAAAACGAGAATAAATAAATTGGATGTAAAAGTGAAAAATTCTGGCATAGTATTTTTTCTCAACAACACCAACAGTAGATCAGAAGCAATTGTTTTTAAACATTCATTCATCGTGAAATATGCCGTCTATAAATCCAGAAAGCTTTAAGAAATCATGGCCTAGATGTTTCGTGATATTTCTTGGTATTGTTGAAGTTGTGGCTGCTATTGTTCTTATAATTACTGAATTGGGTAATGTCGGAGCAAATTTTTGGACAACAAATGTATTTGCTGGTGGTTGGTGTGGTCTGATAATGATTATACATTTCTTTGGATTATTTGTTGCTGGTAAGATCTTTTTATTTAACAATAAATATGAAACTACTTAAATAAAATTTCTGCAGGATGTTGTGCACCAGGTCCACCAGCTGCTTTCCGTGCAGTTGTAATAACAGTAATAGCTCTCTTAGCTTGCGGTGCATTGATTGGATTTGATGCTTATTTTATTGCACAACCAACAGCATGCATATTAACATCATCATGCAGTTCTAATGCTGCATCAACAACAGTGTTCAGTTATTCTTTTCGAACCAGTTTTTTTACAGCATTCAATAGTCTTAGTGCATTTAAAAGTTATTCGGAATCGCAAACGAAATATCTCTTTCAAACAATTCAATTAAGTATTGGTTGTTTATGCTTCGTACTTTGTATTATCTATATGGTTATTTATTATGTAACACGAAACAAATCTTTAGGAAATGTAGCACCTCATGAAAATCCACGAACATCCAATTTTCAACAACAACAACAACAACAACAACGTGGGGCTCAACAACAACAACAAGGTCAAACTCAATGGAATGCCAATAGAAGATACTAACATTATTCATTAAGTTTTAAAAAAAAATCATTTTAAATACTCTCACTATTTTCTTTTCTTTTTTTTATATTCCATAAAGACTTGAAAACCTCTTTTTACTTACAAGAATATTATTTCACCAAGAAACATACAAAGTCATGTCTGAATAATGTCTTTTTTTTTCTTTTTCTTCTCATATTTTCTGTGATTGAAATACTAACATATAATGCAAACAGAGATTGATGAATAAAATTCATTTACGTCATTGCATCATCTTGCTAACAAAAACATTAAACAGAATTCATGTAGGTTGTGAAGGCTTTTTTCTTTTCAGTTCTCATAGCAGCAATCTTAATATTTTTTTTCAATCATTTTTTTTCTTCTTTGTCGTGACTCTTTGCAGAGAGAAGTAAGTCGATCGGAAGAAACCTAGAAAATCAGACTTATAAATATTACATAGAGTGAATACAATCATAAAGACTTGTGCTTTCGCTGTAATCACGTAAAGCTTTTTTTCCGTATATTATAAAAGAATCGAAGAACAAAACAATGTAGATGATGAAATATATTATAATGTATGGAGGAAAAGCTTAGTTTGAGAAGAAATGATTCAACTTAATAATAATCGTGTAGTTGAACAGATTGATTCTTCATTGATAATGAATATTTGATAAAAATTATAGTAAAGAAGATAGATACATTTATATATATAATCTATTCACTTGATTTATTTTTTCATCTCCTTTTTTTCGAGGGTAATAATCATTAGGTTGTTCGTTGAAAATCAATTGTCAAAGAGGTTAATCTATATCACTCGTATCAGTACATGAGTGGTAATCTATTTCAGTTATTTGAAGATGAAGTGTTGGTAATATACAAACTTTAGTATATAGTAGAATTCTGTTATAAAGCAAAAAAAACAATGAGATCTTCTAGGAATTACATTGATCTGAATGATCAAAATTTAAATAAATTTTAGATATGATATTTTTTTTCAATATAGATATGAGAAAGGTAATTTATAATTGAATACTTCATTTCTTGAGAAAAAAAAGTGAAATTTTATTTTTGTCGATGCACAAAATTCAATTATACATATGTTAGGCAAATTTTAATAGAGTTTTTTAAAAGGTTTCAAAAAAATATATATACATATATTAATTCATGTTCAACTTTAATTGAAGTCTAGTTACATCTAGAAAGGTGAAGACTTCGCGAGTATTTTCAATTGAAATATAAGTTTTGATCAAAAGAAAAAAGAAATGATCTTTAAGGTTATATTTCTTTAGTAGTATTTTTTTTATCAATATCTATTTGTCTTCAAATTTAACATAATTGATTGATAATATGTAAAATCTCAATATATTATGTTGTTGAGTTATTTTCTAACCCAAAAAGTAAAGAATTTTTAGCTTATATATTTTCCATGATAGAATAACAGCTCCCTTCTCTTGAAATTTAATAGTTCAAAAATTTAACATGTCATTTCGCTTGCACATAACAAAAAACTTATGAAATTCATTTTTCGATGCTGACGCAGAAGAAGCCATTGGTGTATATATTACAATATGATTGAGTGGAAATGAATTGTATGTCTAATATAAGAAAGCCAGCACGAGCTCTATTTTCTTCATGCAAATGAAAATTAGAATTTTTTTTTTTAAATAAAAAAAAAAGTCATTTCGTAGTTTTGCGTCTAATGAAAAACGAATTCTGTCTAAAAAAAGGAGATTTGATAACTTTTGTGCGTAGTTCGATTGAAATAGTCAATACTCATGACATGTATATTGAAACAGACTTTTGATAGGAATCCGTCATTTTAATTGACTGATTTCAAGAGCAACCAGGCTATTTTGATATGATTCACTAACACTTTTCGAGTGCTTCGAAATGGAATAAAAAACAACAAGAAAAAGACACAGAACACTCAAAGAAATTCTAAGGAGACTGTTCTTGAGACATGATTTTATGTTTTTTTTATTGATGTTCAGTAGATTTCGATATGAAAATTACGATTTCGATGACAATTGATATGATATTCTGCATCAGCATCCAAAACTAACTGGACTTAATATGTATTTCATATATTTTCTCAAGCTTTTTTTTTTATCAAAAATTACACTTTTCATTCTTTTGTTTATTCGTCTGTTATATAAAGTTCTACGATAATTTTAAATACTTAGAACTTGGTTTCTACTGTCAAAATAACTTGTTGAAAATTTATCTTTTACCGTATCATGAGGGAGATCGGAAGTAAATTTATTAACGAAAAAAAAGTTTGTGAAAATAATTAAAATATAAATTAAGTTCACTTTATTTGGAATACTAATTGAGAATATCATAGTAGTTTTCACCAAACTCGAATTTTTCATATCAAAATCTATTCATTACTAGTAAAACTACATTCTGTAGTGCTTGAAAAGTCTCATCAAACCATATGAAAATAGCCTCACTGCTCATAAGATGATAGTTGAAAAGGACTGATTAACATCAATAGTCTGGTTCCATATATCTATAGCGGTCATAAACTATTTCAATCGATCTGTGCAGAGCACAAGTAATATATCATATGACTAACTTTATCAGAGTTCACCGTACAAACATCCTGTGTGATAATGTCACTCAAAAGAAATCAAATTTGTTGAGTAGACCAATTTCAACAATTATCGACCTTCTTCCGTTAATTTTGTATATGGCATAAATTTCTATGAAAAAAAAAATGTCATGATAACAGTTTTTAAAAGCATAGAAATAATAATTGCAATCGTTGATAGGTTAGTGTGGCATATCAATTTGACATATTTTGAAGTAGATCACTTCATTATGAAAATTGAGTTCGTTTATTTTTGTTATCTTGACAAAATTAGTGATATAAATCATTTTTTTTCTTTTTCACTTATTTGATGATGATATTTGTCTAATGCTTGTATTAAAAGTCAATGTTTTTTTTTTTTCTATATCTAATCTAGATGTGAAATATTATTTATTTCAATGAAAAATAAAGTGTTTCGATTAATATTAATATAGTTTATTTAGTTTTTTTTTTCGATGATAATTTTTTGATTTTAATTGTATTATTATTTTTTGATTTTATTCGAGTTTTATTATTCTTATATTGTGATGATATTGATGATCGAATTCGATTAATACTTAACTTTCGTTGTTTAGTTGAATTTTGAATTCTTTTATTCATATTTTTATTTTTATTATTATTTTTCGGAGTTCGCCGTAATGAAGTTGTTTTACTATTATTACGTGCTGAATTTTTTTTCTTGTTTATTGATTTTGATTGATTAATAGTTTTTCGATAAATATTATTGGATTTTATTGTATTCTCACTAGTACTATTTGATGATGATGATGCTGTATTAAATAATTGTGTAGTACCTTCTAGTGTTGATAATAAATGTTGAACTTTAGCAGCAGAAATACCACCGCAATCATTGCATACAATATTTTTTTGTTGAGTACGAAGAAGATCTTTAGTTGATGATGGAATTGAAGAAGCTATTTCTTGTATTTGTTGATAATTATTGTTACGTGACATGAGAAGAAAGTTACAGAAATTAAAAGAAGAAATAAGAAGAATAGATTTTGGCGCTATTCTTCACTAACGTTTATTAAATTAGTTGAGAGGGTATTTGATTATTATTAACATAAACAATGATTTTCAATCACAAAAAAAAAATTATGTTCATAATATCAATTATTGAAGTCTAGATCAGCAAATAATTGATGATTTGTTTGTCTCAATCAAATTACATAAAAGAAAAAGATTCTGTTTGGAGTAGAACTGGATCAATAAATCTAGGTTATCTTCGGTTGAAAACTCGAGATGTTAGTAGAAACTAGGAAGCAAAAATTCGGTGGCCGGCTACACTTGGAACTATAAAAATTCGGTCATTGGAACTCCTGAATTGAAATCTCTATCATTTTTCTGAGTTTTTCAGCGGAAATCTGCACAAAACTCATAGATCTGGGTGCCAAAATCATCAATGGGGCAAGCTCGACAGTTCAAAAAAAATAGAATCGAACTGAAATCGAAATTTTTCGGTTTCTATTGGCCAAAATCTGAAACGTTAGAACTGGAAACTGCTCAAGTGGTACATAATATGAAGGTGATGGAACGAATTTATAAATGCACTAGTGGTTACGCTTCAGTTGTAAACACGACGTATTTCTCATATTTGAATGAAAAAAGAGAAATTAAGAATGGGTAATAGGGTTGAAGAAATAGTATTTAAGTAAGACCTAGAGTCATCGATACTTTATCAGTTTTGAATGATTTCCGCGCAAGAAAATTTTTCATGCATTCACTACGGCTAATTAACATTCATAATTATATTCATGCATGCTCTTTCTTTCTTTTGCTTGTTCAAAGAATAATAAACATGAACGAGCTTAAAAAGATGAAATAAAAATATCTAAGAAACTTAATACAAGCTATTTTATATATTATTACTGTATTACCGGTTCCAAAGATACTTTCTAGAAATCAAAATTGAAACGAAAGTCGTAATTTTGAGTATTATATTAGTTTATTTTAAATACATAAACACATGACAAAAATACTTTGCATAGACTTGCATATGATTTATTCAATGTTTGTTTTATTGAATTTTGTTATACATTTAATGGAAATTTTAATTACTAAAACTTGTAGAAGTTTTTCATGAAATAACAAAAAACAATTGTTCTCTTATTTCACATCAAGAAAAATATTACATGCTGCAGGTATGAGAATGTGAATGAATAGAGGCTGCACACTCACTAGAGCCCGTTAAATTAGACTTTTGAATGCGATGGAGTTTAATCGTTTGCACAATGTATAGGATATGCTAATCTCCAAATGCAAATGGGAAAAAAGTATCTCCTATCTTCGAAACAAACTATTCAATTTCAATTAAAAAATCTCATTGTGAGTATAAACGTACTATTCCGTCAGATCTCAGTTCGAAAAATTTGAATTCATCGGGCTCTAAAATCCAGCCAAATCTACTGTTTAACTCTATAGAAGTTGAATGTTCATGGAATCGGACCGAAAATAATTAATCTTAATCTAATGAACAGACTGTTTTTGTTTTTGTAAAATGTATGAGAAAAAAAACAAAAAAAAATCAATAAATTTATGAATTGTTGCTGTTGTTGTACTTAAATATCGTAAAAATTGGGCGATGATCACTTAATGTCCATTTACTATGATCATTCCATATTAAATGATTACAACCACGTGGAATTAATTCACTTGATATTGGTTGAAGATTATTTGACTTATAAAAAATAAAATCTACTCCTAATTGTTCATTTCTATGTGTTAAATGTGTTACATGTGGTTCGTAACCATTAATAAATTTATAAGATGATTGAAAATTTTTTTCTATTAATTGATAAACATTATCATTTTGATATGTTGAATTAAAATCTCCACATATAATAATTGAACATTGATTTAAAAGATTTTTTGATACTTGATAATTATGTATTAATTCAAGAAATTTTTTCATTTGTCTTAATCTTATTTGACGTTCAAATCTATAATGTGGAAATGTTAAATGAAGATTAATTAAAAGTATATTTTTTCCATTAAATTCAAAATTAAGTAAAAGTCCAATACGATGTCCAATATCATTTAATTTCATATTATATATATCAATAACTTTTAAATGATTCGAATCAACAAGAATAGCTAAACCATCATCAAGAAAACCTGTTCGTTGTAATGTATAAAATGAATATTTTGATGATAAATTTGATTTATATAATTGAATAAATAATGGATTTTTAAACCAAAATTCTTGTAAACAAATAAGATTAATTTCAAATGATTGAAGAAGATTTATTATTGATAAATGACGTTTTTGCCATAAAGAATCATAAGAACTTTCACGATCATATTCTGATGATAAACGTTTATAACATGGTGCTAGAATATTAAATGTACAAACTGATAATGTATCATTTTTAACATTCGATAAATTGGAAAACATTTTTCTAAAATTATTAGATAAGCAATATATTTTTTATATTTTATTCTCTATGAAATATATAAATCGAAGACTACCATTCATCAATATCAAAATAAAAAAAAATTTACCAAGAATATCATTTCCAAAAAAAAACGAAGTAACACTCATTCGAGTTTTGAATTCAATTAAGTTAAATATAGATTTTAAAAAAAAAAGTCATATACTATTAACATACCTTGAATAAACAGAAGACATTGTCAATTGAAGTAAAACATAGGATGAAGAAGCAAAAAATCTATTAACCATGATGATCGCATTGATGCGCATCATCTACAAGGCATGATCATTGTACTAATCAATCAATTCAAAGAAATATTTTATTTATTAAAAAAGAAAAATATCAAAAAAAATCTGTCTTCAACATAGAAAAACAAGTTTTACATAATATATTACAAAACAAAAAAATTATATTAATCAATCATAAAATGAAAAGGAAAACATTTTCTCATTATGAGAAAAACTGTTTGTTTTTCATTTGCGTTTTATATTATAACTCATAGAAACTTAAATAAAACGATCTGTTATAAGTAATGCCAACCATCTGGTTAAACAAGTATAATGATTCTTGAATCAGGTGGTATCTAAGCATTGTTCTAGTATATGTGGTGCTTCAGTAATGATCGAATGTTTCTTTTTTTTTTACTATGTTAAAATGCAAAAAAAAAGAAAACTATTATATGTAGTTTTAGGATAATAATAGCTTACTGTTTACTCGACGGTTCTAAATTAAGATAAGAGTATAAGATTAAAAAAACAACACGAACTATTTCATTTTCATTTTGAAGAATAATAATAAATCATTTTCATTGGTGGATATAGATTAACCGATAGAAGAATTTATATAAAACTCTATAGTAGTTTTATAATGAAAACTAGCGACTTTGTTCGAAAGAATAGTACGTGATCTCACTCTACTAAATAAGATGTGACAGGAAATAAGAATCGTTGTCGAATGTATCTAATAAGGTGACATTTTAATTCGATAGGCCAATAAGATTCATTCACTCCAAGAAATAACGCTTCATAATAAAATAACGTTTTAACGAGATTACAACAGGTGTTACACTTGCAAACAATGCAAATGCTAGATTTCACTGATTACCAACGGTCTAGTTTTAATTAATCAAAAGAACTTAATATGACAAATAATTTATCTCGATAAAGTGTTCCATATGCTATTAATAAGAGTTTTTTAAAATAAGTTTCATTCAATGTGCACAAATGAATTTTCACTTGATGATTTACGCATATATGATCATAGACTATATTTATTAGTAAAAACTAGAAAAAAAAGAATATATATGAAAAAATTGGATGCGACGGAACGCATAATTTGAGTGCATTGTTTGATGGAGCTTGACGAACTGGTTAAGAATATGTAATTTTTATTTCATAAGGTCACTCATTTTATAGAAAAAGATCAAGAAATAAATCATGCTAGATACGAGACAAAGAATAAGTTTTTCTTCATGTATTTTTTTTTCAAAACATATTGAAAATAAAAAACTGCTTAGGAAAATGCTATTTTTCTTTGATCTTAAATTAGTACACTAAAATTTTATTCGTAATAAATATCATAAGTCTCAAATGACTAGACCGAGCCTATACGATGTTGTGATGGGCACTCATGGACAGAATCTTGAATATACGCAGAAGACATTACGTATTTCCATCAAACTTCTGTTTTTGGAAAACTCAATTTAATTCTTCGATTGACTAAAACATTTCTGCAATAAGAAAAAAAATATATAAAGCAAAACAAAGACAATGATAAAATAGTCATCACTTTAGGAAACTTCCTTTGTATTCAACAAAATGTACTTGTCTAACTCTTCTCATTTATCAACAGTTACCATATGATCATCATCTGCTAATTGAAGGTTTCGCAAGTTGTCAAACATTTGTTTGTACATTAATTAATTATACTCTAAATATACTTGCTAATTCATCTTTGAGAAAAGACTACTTTTTTTATCCCGTTAAAATCACCAGATTTCACACTACAAAATGATGCATTTAGTTTCTTTTCAAGTTTTGATATATTGTTGAAAAAATTGAACATTTTTCCATTGTTGAAGCAAAACAATCAAAATAACCTTGCTCGTATTACTAGTTTTGATTTTCATAACTCATAATGAATGAATGAATTCGAAAATAGCATAAAAAACTGCTTCAGAGGATTGATATTTTAGTAAAATCTACTATTCATGGAAATGTGTTTGCATTACTCCTCAACATTTCTTTCAGAAACTTCCGCTTATAATCCACCTGAGTTTTATTCAAATATGAGTAATTCGATGTAGTTTTTCAAATTGATTCCGAGCGTACTTTATATTTTGCTTATTAATTGAGCTATTATGGCAAACACTAATTAAGACAGAATTGTTTTTGACTGTTGTACTACACTCATGAGAAAATATTCGATATTCTCAACAATAAAACAAAATTTTAAAGAAACAAAATAAGTACTTCTCTAGTTCAATATTCATTCGGTACTTTTAATGGAATAAAACATATAGTC